ATGATGATGATGATGATGACAGCTTAATTAATATCATATCTGTGGCGACTTGTTCCATAAAAATGTACCTGCATACCCACCACACTGTGTGAGGTCTGCTACATTCGACATTTGAAGTCATGTATGATGATGATGATGACAGCTTAATTGTTGGAATATCTGTGGCGACTTGTTCTATAAAAATGTACCTGCATACCCACCACACTGTGTGAGGTCTGCTACATTCGACATTTGAGAATAAGTCATGTATCTATTTGACGCCACAAATAATCCAAATGCAACCCCTGAGGTATGCAAAAGTCTCCGCAAACTTAAGTGCTTCTCCTTGATTTGCATGGGGCATTGACGGATACTGTGCGTTCTAAAGCACAATTTTGCACTTCGTCTGTACGTCTGTACCCATGGCTTTGCTCTAACATCTAATGGAGTGTGGAGGCGTGGTCTATTCAGCCTCTACCCGGTCGAAATCCCACTTGATACCTACGGGTTGGAGTGGTGTGCTACCGCAAGTCGGCGAATAAGCAGTGATGCTAGCAGCCTTGCTACATCATCTCTCCGATCACCATATTCACTATGAACACTGGTTCTATAGACGGGGACTGTTATGGACTGACCCCAGTTGTTTGGGATGATGTATTCTCCAAAACGGATACAAACGAGCTAGACAGACACTGGCTGAGGGATTTACTGAACGACATTTCAAAGCATCCCACAGTCAGGTTGCCACAATTCAACCTCAAAAGTTCCATCTTTTTTTCATTTCGGGTAGTAGCTGCGTGGGAAGACCTTCCTCCGACGGTTGTACACGCTCCTTCTCGAACCCAATTTAAAGCACTATTAGACATTTATTTATGCGAATCCTCGCGCTGGCAAGCATACTGCCCCGGGCTGAGAACATAAAGAGCAGTGCTACACCCTTTTTTCACTTGTGCCTTTCAGGTGAACGACAGCCACTGACCGACAAGAACAAAACCGACCCGGGAAACTTGGGCAAAAGCCTCGATCCTGTGTATCAATCCGTGAATCCGTGAATCTACCCAATGGCTCCTGTGCCCGAATTGCTTTTACGGTGCTGGCACCTACGAGGAAGGAAGGGGCACAAGCTCAAAAAGAGGTTTCGAATAACGGTATACAGCGAAAGCTTTAAATGCTTGTGCATATTCCTGTGATAATTTTATACACCCCAAGCGAACTATTCTCACAAATCTGGAGATCACACAGGAATTTTTAACTCTTGGCAAGAACACGGTCAGCACGCATGGCTGAAAGTTACTTCAGAAGAAGACAATCCAAAATTTCGATGCGATCTGCGAAAGGAATCGTGAAATTGTGCTTGGGGGAATCAGGCACAGACACCGCTTTACCGCTCCCAATTCGGCGCTGCTACGGCCAAGAAGTTCATCCCGCGCGCGATTGGCCCGAACACGGGTTGCTTGCCAGTCTAGCATCAAGAGAGCTCTGATTGGCCGAAACTGTGTACCCAAAACCCAATCATAGTCACCTACATATCGAATGTCCAATGAAGGAAAGGTTGCATCCAGAGGGCGTCGAAGTTTCCAGAACGTTGTCACCGCATGCATTTTTCGGCCTGGTGTTCGAGTCTAATACGTGTCTTGCACTTTTGGTGGTTTTGTCGGCAATGCTTGCTTGGAATATTCACACTCCTGGAACTAATTGAGGAATCACCGTTATAACAATCGGCGGACGGAAACTCACGGTGTCTATCTAATTCAGTCAGCTCTGAGGATTATTGCGGCGGTAACAAAAGCGGTCTGAAGAAGCACTACTGAAGCTCGCCTACTCAGAGGCTGCGCATCCAGATGGCAGCAACCAGCACTAGTGAGTCTTCCGTTTCATCAACTGATGTAGCCTCTACCCCAATCACGGACTTCACATTTCACATATTTTTGGTCACACTATTTAACTCTTGTTCAAGCAGTACAAGATATGTTCACAACTGGTTTTATAAGTTCCATAACGGACGGAAGGTCAGAAATTGCCGCAAAGCCACGGCACATCAGAGCACGTTCAAGCTGGCTCTGATCTTATCCTTGACAAATCAATCAGTACGCAATCCCAGATATTTGGCGATCGGAAATCGATGTTCAGTATTAAGCTGGTAGAGCTGGATAAATAACTCGTCACGTCTGCAGGTGTTGTCAATCGGGAGTGTGAAAATTCGGGCTCAGCCCAATGACACGACCATTTCAAGCACGTCATTTTTCCGGGTTTCAGTCGCCCCATTGTACAGATATCAGAACGCAGCTCACCACAGAATCGAACGAGATACTGAAATGACGTTGCAGTCTCCTCACCTAACGTCAACGCCTCATGAACCTGAAGAATGACAGGACAATATTTGATTAGTGAAACCGTTCGGTATTTGCAAAATGTTTTCAAGGTTACCGCTCCCTAGTAAACAATGTCTACGCCTTATGCAAATTTCTGAAAATTATCTGTACGGGTCAGTTGCTTAAGTGAGCCAATCTCCAAGTTCATCAGTTTCCACCGACTGAGGAAACATTGTCTACTGCAATAAGATATTGCAATTCGTGGTAAAAACATGAGCCGCTGAAAATAAACACGAGTTACAGTTATTTCCTCATGCAGCTCCATGCACGTAATCAACCCCAACGTATAAAAAAGCCCAACAACAAGCTCGGTAAAAAAGATAATAAGTCTCTCACAAGCTGTTTGCATTACGGAGAGTGGTACTCCGCTCACCTTTACAGGTTTGGGTGTTATGATTGTCGTGATCATGAATAAGACATCTGTCCATCCTTGATATCGCAGCCAACTGCAAACTGTGGGGCTGTATTAGCTCGACGAGCTGTAAATGCTGCTGTTTAGAACTTCACGCACACAGTACTCGTGTGTCTTTCCGAACAAACTCAATTTCCGAAAGATCCATTTGGACCACTTGGAACGCTACTCCTCAACAGGCTTAGAAGGCGCACACAAGCGAGGACAAGTCTACCTATCCTTGCAATTGTCAAACCGGTTTTATTGCCGAATCGCCCATCAATATATGCAATCCCGTCCGCTACTGACCAGGATTTTGATCGACTGCAGGTGGCTGATATCGATTAACGGAACAACTAATCGGATGAGCCTCATCGATCAAACAACTGGAACGATCCGGTTGTTTGAAAACTCCATCCGTCGCACTGACACGTTGGACATCTATCAGTACCTTTTGCCCTTTCTAGACGACTTGTTTGCGTTAACAAATTGTTGAAATGTTCCGCGAAAATTGACTTGGCTGAGGCTTACCTTCAGGTTAAAATCGGCAGGAATTTCGGGAGTTTTTGACGCTCGGTACACACCGCGATCTGTCCCGATACACTGGAGTGATTCCAAGACAATGCTTTATTATTTCAACAGACCATGAGTACGATGCTGAAGGATGCTGTCAGCGCTGCTGCCTATTTGAACGGTGTCATCGTCGTGGAATCTACCATCGACGAATTGCGGCAGCGCCTTGTTTACGTATCTGGACGCGTTCAACAGTATGGCTCCGGAGTGTACCAAGAAAAATGCACTTTCTTTACGCGGTCGGCAACGTTCCCCGAGGTCAATAGTAAAAAACATGTCCGCCGATCAGATTCGTAGGAAGTCGACGCCATAGAACATATGCCAGCACCCACAGACGTAACATTTTACAGGTTCGCCTCTTGACCAACATACACTTATTCGAATGAAAAATGCTGCCTACTTTTATAACAAATGCGCAAAACGCAAATAACTCAATGATGAGAGGCGTGATTTAAGCCGGTGAAAATGTTTATTTGACTTCCTTCGCACATTCAGCCCTCCGTCTGGTCACATAATCTAGCATTATATTATATTGACAAAAACAGCCGTGGTAAGTTCGAAATCGGTTTCGTTTTTCCCTCGTGCAACTTTGTGAAAACTTTTTTTCCGTTTCTCAATCTATTCACAGAGTACACGTGAGTAATTGTTGAATTTTATTACTCTAACAAAACGTTTGAGAGATAACCCTTGATATTTTGCGCACACTCCCTATTTTACATCTAATCCTAAACATGACACCATTTTATACCGATTGCCCTCAGCAGCCATTGACAGACCACAACGGATGTGGGCGAAATGGCTGCCCGTCTAACGTCAAACGCGGTATGCAGTGCCCCACCTGCAAGGTCTGGTGGCACTTCAAATGCACGGGTCTACGATACGACCAGATAAGCCGGCTAGTTAACTCTCCTGACCCGTCTGTCTGCGCCAGCTGCCTCTACGTTGGGGGTGCAATGCATACTTCAGCTAAGAAGAAAGCCCCCAAAGACGGTACCCAATCCCCACTGCAGATTCAGAAAGACCGATGCCAGTGTCCCACTTTGATCATGGAACTCGTCGCGAAATTGGCGCGTCTTTCAAAGGCACTTGAGGAATAAGGCACTAAAAATGCATCGGCTTGGATGAAAGTTGACAAGGAACTTTCTTTGCTGAACGAGTACCTTGCGATATCCATACCGGGCCCTCTGGTTGCGAAGAAATTAATACAACTCTCTGACGCGGCTATAAAGACCACCAAAGCGTCTTTATTTGACGGGCGCCTAAGGGAAAGCAGGTTAATAACCTGGGAGTCATTCTCCGGTAAAATAACGCCAGCGAAACTGGCACAATCAATCCTTAGGAATGTCCTCAACAAGCCTGACCAATCGCTCCACGCAAAATGGTTACTCCAGAAGGGAAGCAGGCGAACGCTTGGACTTTTTGTCACTCTTTCTTCCCCATCTGACGTACAGAAGATCTTGGAGCGGGATGACAGCATTCAGAAGGCCAACCCAATGGTCAGGCGTCTATCTGAGGATCGCACTCTAGACGCGAGAAAGCTGGGGCACAACAGATCAGGAGTAGAGGCGCGAAAAAGGCTACCGCTGGGCTACAATTCAGCCGACCCCAAACTCATGACCAAGCCGATTGTGGTCATATCCCGTTGTGTTCATGAGAGCAGGCCGACGAAATCAGCTGCGTCTCCGGACAGCAGTTTCTATTCGACCACTGCAGGCCTCTCGCCCACCAAATGCAGCGACGCCCTTTAGGAGGCCAACCCCACCTGCGAGCGGCGCTCAAAGTACGTGGAGCTATCAACGCTTATCTCCGTAACAGACAACACAGCTGCAGCCATGCACTCCGCTAAAATGAGGGTGGTGAAAGAGCTGCAAACAACAGTGGTCGAAATTTTCGCCCACGGGAGAAAATACTTCGTCCCCCAAAGCCAAAAGGCCGGGCAAACCGGGCTCCCACGGAACGGAAAAAACCTCGCAAGCGAAAAGCACGCCCAGAATCCACGAAGACAGGAAGCAGACGACATCGCCCCATAGGCCCCCTCGGAGCCTTGAACTCAAGCCCGGTGCACAACTAATATGTCTGCTAACCACCCTGTTCACTCACCTTTCGGTTCCTCACCCTCTGAGACAGCAGAGACGGTGTTGAAATGCTTGTCCACAAACTGCCTCAGCCTTTTCAACAAACTCGGTGATGTTATACAGTCAGCTCACCTTGAACAATCGCCCATAATCGCACTCACAGAGACTCGGCTCACACCTGATGTCTCTGACGCGGAGATCTCGATAGACGGTTACCCTTTTTTTCGAGCTGACTCAAAACGAGGGAGGGCTGGTGGGGTTGCTCTGTATTTACATGCAGCCCTACCAATTCCGATTATCCTCTCTGACACCACCCCCGCACCCTTTTACGATGCACTGTGGGTCCAAATCCCGCTGCGCGGTCCAATTCTCTCCTCCTCGGCGTGGTCTACCGTAGGCCTTCGAGTCCCACTGAAGATGACCAATTCCTCATACAAACCCTTGAGCAACTCTCCTCCAACTACCACTTCACTCATCTCCGGCTTGTAGGTGACTTCAACACCCCAAAGACCTCCTGGATGGCACGCCAGCGCGTCGAATCAAGCGGGCTTTTTGCAGCGGCGCTGACTGAAGTCGTTCATCAGAGCGCTTGGACTCAACATATCGTTGCACCCACCAGATACCGCGCAGGCCAACAACCATCCCTGCTGGATTTGGTCATCACCAACGAAAGATCGTTGATCAGGTAAAAATTAACGCTGCACTGGGACATAGCGACCATTGTGTGATGACCTGTGATTTCATCTGCTATTGGGCCAGAAATCCCGAACCTCAAACGTGGTTTCGAGACTTCTGCCATGCAGACTTCTCGGGAATGCGCATCTTTCTTGAACAAATCACAGTGAGACCAGCTCCAGTAAGAGAACTATATAGGACCATTGTCCAAAATGTTCACGAGGCTGACGCAACGTTTGTCCCAAAAAAACCGCCACGCACTCGGATGAACCGCAGGCTGCCAGAAAGGATTCGGCGACTTCTGGAAAAAATATACCAACTCTCTTTGAAGAAGTTGACCACAGGGTATACAGAAGGTGAGGTGGCATTCCGTAAAATGCGGGACCGCTGTAAATCGGAAATGCGCAATTGGAACATACGGAAACAAGCCACCATCCTGGACCTCGCTCGAAAAAACAAAAACGTATGGTTCAAATACGCGATACATCGCCGCAGAAACAAGCCATCCGCCTTCTCCTTGGGGGACAGATACGAAGAACCGACGAACGACACAACAGTGGTATCTGATGTTTACAGAGAACACTACGCGTGTCTATACTCAGCCCCAGTCCCACACGCCCCGCTGCTCCACAAACTAAAGGACCAGTGCTGTTTCTGATCTACGTCAACGACCTCCCAGATGTTCATGCAAGTCCATGTATACCTTTTGCGGACGACTTGAAATCCTGGGGTACCAATGCCAGTGCCCTCCAAATGGATGTACCCGCTGCCAAGCAGTGGTCGTTGGGCTGGCATCTGACTCTGAATGATGAAAGGTGCGTCCGTATGTCGTTTGGAAGAGACTCAGCGAACGCCTTTGTTATGCATGGTAAGAAAGGACCAGAAAACATCATGAGGATAGATGCCAAAAAGGATTTGGGCTTCTGGGTCTCCTCAAACTTGTCCTTCTCACTGCACCATGAGAAATCGGCCCGAAAAGCATTAGCCATTTTACGGATGATCCGACGCACCTTCTCCCGTACTACTCGCATGGACTTCCAAATACTCTATGGGGCCTACGTCAGACCGCTCCTGGATTTCGCCAACCAAGTTGTCTACTCAGGACGCACGAAAGACGTCACCCTCATTGAGCGTGTCCAGCGAGCCGCTACGAGAATGGTTGCCGGCCTCAAATCCGTGGACTACGAAACGCGTCTCGCGATGCTTGATCTCTTTCGTCTGGAGTACCTCCGCCTTCAATGGGACCTAATTCTTACTTACGCCCTGTTTGAATAAAGCTTGGCAAATAGGTTTTTCTTACCGTTGAACCAGCAAACACACAACGGGGACATAGTGAGAAAATTTTCAGCTCAGAGCTTACTTACGCCCTGTTTGAATAAAGCTTGGCAAATAGGTTTTTCTTACCGTTGAACCAGCAAACACACAACGGGGACATAGTGAGAAAATTTTCAAGCTCAGAGCACACACATTAGACAAAAATTTTTCTCATTTTGGGCAGTGGGTCTGTGGAATGACCTTCCTCCGACGGTTGTCCACGCTCTTTCTAGAACCCAGTTTAAAGCACTATTAGACACTTATTTATGTGAATCCTCGCGCTGGTGAGCATACTGCCCCGGGCTGAGAACATAAGGAGCAGTACTACACCCTCTTTTCGCTTGCGCCTTTCAGGTGAACGACCGCCACTTACCGACAAGAACAAAACCGACCCGGGAAACTTGAGCAATAGCCTCGATCCTGTGTATTAATCCGTGAATCGGTGAAAGACAATGCCGATAAAATTATCCAAGTAATTTTCAACAGACCTATTGTTTACATTGTTCATGATATGTGCATGAAAGCTTTTAAGGTCACCATCTAAGCGAGTCTAATTGACAATGTCTAATTTAAGGTAGGCGCGGTTTATGAAGAAACAGCGAGGTTTCCCAGCACACTTCATAAGTGCTGATTATGGGCATTTAATGTAGTGTTCAATAGGATCCGGGAAAGTTTTCTGGGAGCTACTTAAAAAGGGTGATCTTGATGAATGCGATAGGTTTTTAAGGTAAGAGTAGACCCATTATTATTCGATTTAAGGAGTACCCTATTGTTTGATTACAAGCAAACCCAATAAAGCGGTACACTTGGTACAACCTGCACTGGTCGCCGCAGCACAGACCGTTGACCCCTCGGCAACCACACTGAAAATGTGGTGAGTTATTGAGAATTTGACGTAGACCTCAGTGAAGTATGCAATAGCTCACTATCTATACAAAATGAAAATGTTAAAATTAGACACAGGAATCGATGAAGACACAACACCACGAAAAGCTGGTTACTGTTTCCAGAATCAAACAAACTATTTTGGATAAACCTGGGTCTTAGTTGCCGAAGCCAATTTCTTGTAATTTCAGAAACCTTCATCTTCGCACCCAAAATTGAATCTGAAAGCAGAAGGATGCTTTCAGAAACGGTGGCTTAGCTAAGCGCGTGAAGTATGACAATAAACAGATCACCAGTTCCTATTCAGAATGTGCACGTTTCTCCTAACACCTTGTGTATGTTATAGCAGGTCCCTGTATATACGCTGGGACCAAAGTCCCTTCCAAATGTTTTTGGAATAAACATTTGATGCCACTGAGGCACACAGTATGAGAGTCACGTCAGCGCGGTAGAGCATGCTACGTAATCAACCTAATAGCAAGTAACCGAGATTAACGGTAATCGCGTAGGTAAACTCCATTTTCTGGAAAGTTGAAGGAAAATTTAACGGCACATCTAAATTTACTTGAAATAATTTCCCCACTTTATTTAAGTGGCGTTTTTAACGAGGTTTCAGCGAACGCTGGAAGCGAAGCAAGCAACGAACCGGGTAATTCCAACCTCGAATCATCAGCAACCTGCATAGCTCTGCTGTCCACATTGCACAACGGGGAATTGGAAGCAGTGTTGACCCCCGACAAAAATTCACGGAAGTGGAATTTTACTATTCACGTTACGGAAATTGAAAATTTGAGATTGTGCAGAAAACTGGATTGGAATATAACAGAACTGTCATAAAAGTTGGTCGTAGGAGTTCAACGAGTGCACACTGAGTAAAGCCGGACAGCGAAAATACGTGGCGTGCGAAAAAAACATTCAGTGGTGCGTGTTTCTATATAAGTTATTTGAACCATACCCACTCAAGTTTACTACGGTCTTCTTACAAATTACACATCAAGGTTTTAGGCCACGCATAATCAGAGGATTTGTTAACGCCCGAAAATCGATGCATCGCGCTGTAAACGTTTTCCAACCCACGCTTGTGAAGAAAACCGTTGAGAACGTCAAAGTGTGCCCCAACAATCCAGAGGAGGAATTATTTTCGTTCCCGCCCGGGGTAAACCATTAACTATCAAAGACAATAACGTACGCCTCAGCGAGACGCAGTGGGTATTTGTGATCTCTTAACAGTGAAGGCTTTACTTCCGTCACACCATAAATTTGATGCACCTGTATCGTTTTTCATGCGTCTGCTTTCAGATGCAGTGAGTGGGTGTGTGGTTGCAATTTTAAAACATCAAAACTGAGAATTATCTGAAGGTTTGCCATTACTGGGCCCACTTTTCGACTACACTGAGGTAACGTTAGAAAAGGCACCTTGGAAGAACAGAATCTCATTTCATGGCTGTAGCTCGAATCCATAGGAAAATCTGAAGTGCTCCAAAGGATCATGCTCACGATCTATTGGTCCAACTACCACTTGTTAAAAATTAGAGTACTTCACTTTTGTGAAAATTTCGCCCAGGTAGGCCGTCGATGTTGTTTCCAACGTGGACAATCCAAACTTCATTAGTTTCGTAGACCATCTAACCCATATTTGGGGCAACTGCAGAATAGGTCTAGCAAAATGGTCTCTGTTGACATGCTTGGGGCGGAAGCTCGGTGAGAAGCCCCAGTGAGACATGGACATGCATTCAGGCACTCCGGACATTGAAAAATATGGCGGCGCCCCCAGCCACAACAACCCGCTCTCAG